TTTCACCACATCATCTTATGATCTAAAGTTTCAATTTCTTTGAAGTGGAATAAAATCTCAAAGATACCTGTGGAGCAATCTAAACCTAGAATCCTCTGGAATTTTAAGTATTTCCCCAAATTGTTTTTACTACTTTCTCATCCATAACATCATTTATTTCAGATACTCACTTTTACCAATTCTTTTTATATAATTCTATGACTTAGCTATCGTAGAAACCATTTCCTGATTCTTTCTTCTGCATTCATATTTCATCAGCATTTTATTAACTGATGTAATTCCATTTATGAATATAGAAGACATGGACAGGCTTAGGAACAAAGATAAGTGATTCCTGATAAGCTTTAAACTCAGATGGTGGCAGAAGTAATGCCAGAGGCTAAGGAGAGAGACCCCTCAGACTCCCCAGCTCAGGTCAATAAGTTTTACAAGGGGGCGGAAAAGCACAGATTATCAAAGGAGTTGACTGGTCAGACACCAATCAAAAGAAATTCTGTTGCACAGATTTCTCAGTCTAACACTCAGATCTCACTTGCTTTCCCAGTTCACATCTTCTCTTCCTCTGTATATGTCTTGTGGACCATCGCTGAAAGCCTCATTGATTCTTTCCCTTCCAGAGGTATCTGCATTCCCCAGGTCCCTTGTTCATGATACCTGGGGTTCATGAGCCCTTGGCCCGTAGCTCTACTGTGTCCACAATAAAGTTCTAGCAATGCCAAACACAGTGTTTCCCGGTAGAGTCTGTTCTTGGGTGAAGATGAAGATCTCTGGTGTCTCATTCATACTACTAGCCAAATTCTGCATGTGAATTTTCCTAAGAGTACACACAATGACATCTGTAGTTTCACGGCAAGCTGAAATTGTAGTACTGGCCATTTGGGACTTGTGTGATCTTTTCTCCTTTCTGCGTGGTAAGCAACACTGTCTTAATTTCAAGACTATCTCTGTATTCCTATTCCATTGTCAAGTGCACTACTCCTTGGGTTCTGAAACTCTCAGGGATGCATGCATCTCCTGAGCTTTCTGGTATTTTCACTTGCAGTATTCTTTTTAGAATGATGTGTTACTGCTAAGAACTTACACACATCTTCAGATATTTCCAGAAAGAACAACTAACCAAGGAGATAGGAGATAGCACACACAATATAGATCCATGTTTCCTCAAAAGATTCCCTGGGATTTGAAAAAAGTCATCATATGAAAGAGGACAGATGAAAGAAAATACAAGTTAATATATTTAAGTACTGTATTTGGGTTAATCTTGTGTTTTAATAGAGTACTTAAATTTGGTTTTTATTTATTCTTAATTTAAAAGATAAGAAAGATTATACAATTTTTAACTGATAAAAAATATAACATGATTTACTTCTAGAGTATTTCCTGATACAAATTTCAAGCTATACCTAGCTATACCTTATTACCAAAGGTGAATGGCACGGGTGACAATCCCCCAGAGATAGGACTTTGACAGTCTTGTTGAGATAAATTCATGAACTCCTTGCAAAAGATTCCTTGGAAGTTTTTTTTTTAAATTATATCCACAGTCTTACACATAACCTACCATTCTCCTCCAAAAGCTTTCTGATAGCTTATCTCAAGCCAGCAGTGTTAAGCATATGGAAAATAAATTCACATCAGGTAGATATAATCCTCTGCTCCTTTACTTAACAGATGACTGATTTTGTCAAGATATTAATTTCCTCAATTTTCATTTTCTCCTCTATGATTACAGTAATTCAAAAAATAAAATTGAAAAGTGCCTATGAAAAACAAACCCTAAAATAACATCAAAACCTTTCTCCTCCCTGATATCTTTCCCTTTCATTTAAAAATACACATGACGCCTTAGTCTTAGAGAACCCTTTGTTTGACAGTCATAAATCTCCACCCTTCCATTTCCTATCTGCTTTTTAATGCCTTTTCCTTACTATTTGCCATCTCATTAACACCTCAAAATTCAGTTTTCCTGAAGCTTCATCTTCATAATATTAAAACTTCAAGCTCTCCAATGACTTTCTTAGTGTCCCTCTGGGTAGCGTGGGCAGTTCTGAGTCTTGGTGTCCTATGCCCTGGGTCCATCCTGCTTTATTATCCTGTTACCTTTCTGTTTCTTTCCTTCCTACTCTGTCGTACCTATCTCAGCTCTGTCCCAATGGTGGTTACCACCCAAGGAGGTTTACTCGGGTCCCTGTTTCTCATCTTCACTTCCAATAATTAATTTGATCTACAAGTATCTTTCTGGAGATGTCTCCCAAATCCTTCTTTCCAGACCACAGTATTCCAGCTGCAGAGCTGCATGATATCTCAGCCTCAGTGTACTGAAACACCTCCTTTCTCAGCAAAGTCTCTCTACACACGTTTCAAACTTTAAATCAGCTCTGGTTCTCCCTGAGCTCCTCTCATCAAGTCAGACGCGTGCATCTCTCAGCCCCCCGCTTTCTCATCTGATGCAATACACGTCGGTGTTTCCAGATCACTCACCATGACTGCTCCCTCACTCATCATTTCATTCCAGAGTTACTGTAATTTTCTCAACTTCGGTTTTCCCCAAACTCAAAGTCTTTTGAAAATTGCTATCAAATTATTATTCTTAAATAACTGCTGTCATCAAACACATCAAATAACTGTCCAACTCAAAAACATAAATGACTCACTTTTTAAAAAATATTTCTGGAAATTGAACCCAGACCTTACCACCAAGCTGTACCCCCGTTCCTGATTCTTGAGGTTTCATAGGAGAATAGACAACCTACTTCACTTTGATTTTCCAAGAGTAGTTTCTAAAATAGGTTTTAATTTGTTCTTTTAGAATTTTTCTTTTTTTTTTTACAACTAATGGTTAACATTAATGTTCTTAAAAATAAAACAGCCTACTCATAATTCCTTAAAGCCCACGGTGTTTTTAGACTCTACTATGTACTTCCTGCCCTCTCCTACACCTAAAAAGAACACTCACATGACTTCTTGTGACATGTCCCCTGTTCTGTCAGAACAATCGCATGCTAGTCTCATCAGTACCTATTGTCATCCCTGAATAAACTAAACTTGGGAGAGTAGTGTGCTTCAGGGATAACATTTTTGGAAAACTCTTTACTTTCGCATTCCCTTGAACCCACCTTTGCCCCTTTTCCAGAGGCATCTAGTGCCTACCAAGTTTCAACTGGTCCAGTAGGAATGTTAGGTAGCAGAATCGCTATGTTTGTTCACTTCCTACTACCTAATATGAGATGTCGGCAAGAGACTGGTTACTGAACCGAGGCTTTGCTAAAAGGATGGAATTTCCTAAACTTTTACATCTCACAGATGGTAGAATTTCTTCTATAGGCAGAGAGGATACCTCCCACTATGTCATCTAGGTCATGAGGCTTGCTGCCTTAGGAATAGAGAAGGATACATATTCACATGGCAAACAACTTAGTGTATACTAAGGCACTGGGCTCTGGGAACTGTTCTAAGTGCTTGGGATACAGCAAATCAATAAAAGGAGTAAATATTACATTCTTTAGAAACACATATACAGTAGTGCTTAGGTAAGTGTTTATAAATGCATTGTTGGAGGGAGGCTTTGCTGGGTGGTACTTGCTGATTTAGTGCTGCAAATACGCAGTTTCTGGCTGCTTTCAGGTTTCCAATATGGCATCAGTAAATGTGGAGTTGGAAAGGGGAGTGTATGGTTGACTCAAGCTAGTATGAGGTTGCCATGACACAGCAATACCTAGATATGAGATAAAACTGTGGGGGGGGGAGAAGAGAGAGAGAGAGAGAGAGAGAGAGAGAGAGAGAGAGAGAGAGAGAGAGAGCGAGCCAAATTATTTCTAGGGAAGAGAAGAGGAGGAGGAAGGCAGAATGAGGGAGAAGCACAGGGAAGGTGTAAGTTATTTATAATGTTTTAGTTTTTTGGTTCCTGGATCAGGTGTTGATTTTATGGTATTCATTGTATGATTTAACTAATGAACAATCCCCAAAGAAGGATGTATACAAGAGTCAATAGCAGTAATATTTGACACACTAGAAGTTCTTATTAATCCAATTCTGTGCAAGTAAGAGCAGCATCAGGAAAATGAGATATGATAGAGAATGCCAAGAAACTGAACAAATATTTTTCAGAAGGAGGAATGGTGGGAAGAGGAAGGTCCAGAAGCTGTGGACCCAGATGGGTGCAAGGACGATGGGCGAGTCCCTGAATCTCTCTTAGGATCCTAACCTGTGATGTTTTAGAATATTCAAGCAGGTCTGATAAAGCCCAAGAACATCAGGTCTCATGACCTACCTACCCTCCGCTGACTCAGACACAAATCACACCAGTCTCCTGGAGACTGTGATTCATGAAAGGAGGTATGAACGGTAGAGAGCAAAGGATTTCTGTGTGTTCCATACAGTGCTGTGGGTTTTAGGGTTCTGGAAACTTCTAGAAAGCCCAGTGAAAAACTACAGAAGTCTAAATGAACTGGTGAGCTGGCTAAGTCTAAGAATAGGGCAAGAAGGCTTCCCTGGTCAAGACTATGACACGGAAGGAAAGCAACTGGAATCATGGGCTTCACCATGTGGACACCACCAGTGTCTCTCAAAACCCCAAAGAGGATTGTTGTTCAGTAGCCACAACTGCAGGATGCACAGAGTCTGGGTGCTCACTAGAGAGAGCACTGAGGGAGAGGAAGTGTTGTGGGGAACTGCATACACCCTCTCCCCCAATCTCTACCCATATGTCCAAGAGCAGCCAGAGGGAGAGACAGCTGAGATCTTGAGCACTTAAAAGAAACAGAGAGGACACCTAAAGGGGCACTTTGAAGTTATATCCAGGCCAGATTTGTGGAGTGCTCGCTTCCATTCTCTACTGTTGCCATCTTTGAATTCTTGATTTATGAACAAGGGCCCTGCATTTAAATTTTGCACTGAGTCTTGCAAATAATGTAGCTAGTTCTTTTATTATTATTGTTATTAAAATGTACTATGTCTACTTAAAGGCCAAACTAAAACTGAGATTTTTCCCTACTCTTTAGAGATTGGAGACATGAAGAAATTGAATGATTAATGGAGCTGTACAGAAATATTACTTGGCCCAACCTGACCGTGGTGGGAAGAATTTTACCTTGAAACAAGTGCACAAGTGTTCAAACAACTCATTTGACTCGCGGGCTCTTAGCTCTGTCCTTGCTCTTCTCCTTGATCTCCGTTGCCATGGCAGGGCTGCAGCACGTCTGCTATCCCCTCCCAAGACCTCATCCTGACACCTCAGGATTCTCTGTAAGTACAACCTGGTTATGCACATGCCTGTACACGTGGGTCTTGTCCTTCCACTTCGACCTCGAATCATCCAGCTTCCCCATTAGCTCACTTTGAAACACATGCTTGTGAAGTCTGTGGTGAGCTGCTCTTCCTCTACTCTGGGCTGCAAAGATGAAATACTCTCCGTGAAGTTGGAGACCAAGACTTGCGTGTGCCACCAGCTCACTTTTAGTTTGTTTTGTTTTTATACCACTTCCTTTCCATTTCTCAAAGTCAGAGAGCTTCCTGAAAAGAAAAGCCGTAGTTCATTCATCTTTGTATTCCTAACACTGAGCGCTGTGGCAGGCCAGAGGAGAAACCCAAGAAATACTTGTGAATGGAATTGGAAACCTGCTTTCAAGCCTGACCTCTCCCTCCGTCTTTAACATTATCACCTCTAGCTTCAGGGAGGAAATCAGGGCTAGGGCGAGATGCACATATACATCGCTGCTGTCCCTTTCTCATCCTGCAGAAACAGGTGTTTCCCAAAGCTCCCTCCTTCGGCCTCTGTTCATTCCTCCTCACACCAGCTCTCCATCCGTCTTGTCTCCATTCTTCATAAAAACCAGTGACAAGGCTGACACCTGGAATGTGGCTTTCTGCTTCTTACCCGGCCACCTCTCTTGGTGCCCACTGCTCGGGCCAGGCTGTGCTTCCGCAGACCCTCAGCACTGCTGCTTGGCCTCCGCCTGCCTTTGCCCTTCTAGCTCAAACCTTTCAGCCCTGTTCTTCCTCACACCATCATGAGGCCAAACTTTCATGGAAGATTTAGGTTCAAAGCAACTATCTCTCCCTAAAGTGTCACTACATTATACCTTCTGGATTCTAATATTTCAAGAATATAAGGACAAGGAAATAAAAACAAGAGGAAAAGATTCTAGTCCCGTCTTTCTTCTATGTCTTTTATATCCTTGTCTCAATTCCTGCTGTTTTCCCCTCTCAAATATATATGAGGAAGTGGGAGGAGAAGAGAGGAGAGGAGGGAGAGGAGAGGATGGGAGGGGGGGGGAGGGGAAGGGACGGGACATGAGGGGAGGGGATGGGAGTGGAGGGGAGGGGAGAGGAGAGGAGAGGGGAGGGGAGGGGAGAGGAGGGGAGAGGAGGGGAGAGGAGGGGAGGGGAGAGGAGGGGAGAGGAGAGGAGAGGGGAGGGGAGAGGAGGGGAGAGGGGAGGGGAGGAGAGGGGAGGAGGGGAGAGGAGAGGAGGGGAAGGGAGGGGAGAGAAGAGGAGGGGAGGGGAGGGGAGGAGAGGGGAAGGGAGGGGAGAGGAGGGGAGTGGAGGGGAGAGGAGAGGAGAGGAGGGAGAGGAGAGGAGAGGAGGGAGAGGAGAGGAGAGGGGGGAGGGGAGGGGAAAGGAGGGGAGAGGAGGGGAGGGGATGGGAGACTAGGGGAGGGGAGAGGAGAGGAGAGGAGAGAGGAGGGGAGAGGAGAGGATGGGAGGGGAGGAGAGAAGGGGAGGGGATGGGAGAGGAGAGGAGGGGATGTGGGGAGGGGAAGGAAGGGGAGAGGAGGGGAGAGAATGGGAGATGAGGGGAGGGGAGAGTAGAGGCAAGGAGAGGGGAGGAGGGAGAGGAGAAGAGAGGAGAGGAGAGGAGGAAAAGGAGAGGAGAGGAGGGGAGGGGAGGGGAAGGGAGGCGAGGGGAGGAGAGGGGAGGGAAGGGGAGAAGAGAAGAGAGGAGGGGAGGGGAGAGGAGAGGAGAGAGGAGGGGAGAGGAGAGGATGGGAGGGGAGGAGAGAAGGGGAGGGGAGGGGAGAGGAGAGGAGAGCAGAGCAGAACAGAGCAGAGCAGAGCAGAGGAGAAGAGAAGAGAAGAAAATTTCATGGGTAGAAGCCCTCGGGTGATGGAACTATTTAGGGCTGGGGGATACCAAGACCCAAAATCTTTCTTTCCACAGTTCTGATTCGATTGCCCTTGTATTATTCTTACATCTATAAGAAAGTTGGGAACAGAGTTAGGGTTGTGTCAGTATCATAAATTAAAAGTAAGCAATTGCAGTGCTGGACTTATTAAAAATGCTAGAAAAGTTGCTATCATAATCTTATAGATTGTTGTTGCTCATATTACTTGTCTGGAAAGAAACTTTCAGTTCTTTAGAGCTTGGAGAAAAAGAATTTGACAGCTTTGCTAGCAAAGAAAGTTGCTGTTGGTTTGCAAAACTGCAATCAGAGTTGAGGCATGAGTTTCCCTTCTAATTTTCCATAAAGGGGGAACCAGATTTTTATTTGTAAAATACCCCTAAATTTTTAGCTAATCCAGGAGAGAAGAGGTGTGTTTCTGACATAGTTTTTGTGGGGCCAGCCTGTTTATTCTGACCAGGGCACACAAGGCAATGGGGTCTCCATAGGGAGTCTCTACCTACATGTGATGGCCAACTTTATGTGTCAGCTTGGCTGGACCATGGTAATCAGATATTTGGTCAAACATCGCGTTTCTGTACTATAAAGAAGTATTTTTTCAGATAAAATTGACACTCAAGTCAGTCATCTTTGAGTAAATCACACTTTTAAAAATGTGAGTGTGCCTCATAGAATTAGGCAAAGACTTTTATAGAGAAAAAAATGTTTTCCAAAGAAGAAGGCCTTCTGCGAGCAGCCTGTCTTCATATTTGGAAGTAGTTTCCCTGGGTCTCCAGCCAGATGACACACTCTGCTGATTTGAACCTGCCAGATTCTGCAATCTGATGTGAACCAGTTCCCTAAAATTCCCCCCTTCACTCTGCCTCTCTGTCTGACCATCTACCTATTCTCAGTAACCTGCCTTCTTTTGGGTCTGATTCTCCATAGAGACCTGATCAATACACATGTTATATAAGTTTGGAAACTTCTCTGGAGAATGAATTCAAACATCTCAACCCTATTCCTACTTCTATCATTAGAGACAAATCATTCTAATCACTTTATCTCCCTTGGTGAAAAACATTAGGCTTTACACTATCTGCTGACAGGGAGGAGCGATAAATTAAACCACACATGAAAATCCATTTTGACAGAAATTAATTTTCTGTGTCTATATAATTTCTTTGTATGAATTAATTTTAATGCTTTCCCAAATGAAATAAAGAATGGGGGGCAGATGAAAAGGAGCAGTAGAAAGAAGAGAAACAGATGAAATTATTAAAATGAGCAACAGGTCTTCAAAAAAAGCCTAAAACACAAAAACAGCGTCTGTCTAGGATGACCAAACCCTTTTCTAGTAAAATGATATTCAGTTGTAAGAAAAGCAACCACAAAGGTTTTTTTTTCACTCTTTGTATAGCTTATGATTAGTATGTAGTTTATTTCAAAGTCTCATTTAGACTTTCTATGGTTAACCATTCTCATGGAATAGTTTCATAGCAATAGTAATGAATCACTCTGAAAATGTTTTAAGTACTTTATATACCTTAACAATCATTATTAAATAAATTTGCTAACTGTTGCTATTTGTGAATACTGCTAAAAATCATTTGAAGACATTTTCCATAGATGAGTATTTACATGAGATAACAAAGGATACTGTCTGATTTCTGACATTCCTGCAAATACATTAAAAGTTGAGCTCATGATGCAAGAAAGCATAGTATAAAAGCCCATAGAATTTGAAAAATTTTTAGTAGACTTTGAAGTCAAAAGATCTAGGTGTTAATCTAGAAATTACCTGAATCGTCTTAGGCAAAGCTCTTTGTTATCTCTGAAGCTCATTCACACTGTATCTATCATATCCAAATACTATGAGTACTATGATGCCCATTCTGGTTTGACTATTATCTTCTTTGGAAGTCCTGTAATATTTACAAGGTTTAGGTTTTATTGGTCTTGTTCTCTACTGTTTTGTTCAACTTTATAATACCTAATGAGATAGACAATTATTCTTAAGGAAGCAAGAGGCATTATGGTAACCATTGTTGATAACCTTGTACTCTGTTCTACATCATGTGCTATGTCTATCCTTGGTTTTGACTGACAGCTTTGTTTTGCCATATTTGACTTTATTCTCTTCCAAAAAAAAAGTAATAAGAATCAAGGAGTAATAAAACTCTAAATGTGTAAATTGTGTTATAAAAAAGAGAGGGGAAAAAAGTGCTCTAAAGGATACAACTGCAAGTGTGTTTAGGGGTGTTAAATAGATGACCATATTAATGTTTTTGGTTGGATCATTGAACACAACTGTTTACAGTCTCACTGTTTGAATGTCCACTTTGTATGTTTTGATACTGTGACTTGAGCAACTATCTCTAACATGATAATGTGTAATCTATTAACTGATGATTTTACTGTTTTTTTTTGTAGTTCTGTATTACTTGTACCCTTACACCGCTTTGTTTTGTTTTGTTTTTTCTTTTTCCTTTTAAATAAAATTTAAAAAATACTATGAGTATGAGAGATTATTTTATGTAAGGGTACATATAACAGGGCTGTGTATTCATTGATATGACTAAGAAGGTGTGGAATGGATAATTGTATGTGGGCAAAATGTGAGGTGGGAGGAGGTAAGATGGTCTAGAGGAAATGGTAACAGTCTTGTCCAAGAACTCTAGCGAGGAAGAAACAAGTGACTCTTTGCAACTAATACAAAGACCTAGTATTGGCCAAGGGATTTGCCTTCCATTTCAGACTCTGGGGAAGGAATTAAAAGTGTGGTGATAGAATGTGGCAGGACAGAATGAGAGCTCCCCACAAGGCTCAGAGGCTCTCTGATGGCAGCTGCTAAAGTGCTTTCTGCACCCAGGGGAAGGGGATCTAACTGCAGGACCAGAGAACTGTGGAAGTTAGAGTCCTAGCTCTACAAGCGTATTACCTGGAAGGAACAGCTTTGCTATTCAGAAAATATTTGTGGATAAAAATATCTCTTTCTCTGAATTTCTGGAGGGATAATATGCATAAAGGATTTAACATAATGCTTTGTATGTGGCAAGATTTCATTAAACGATAGCTGTTGCTGTATTTACTGTCACCATTATTATTGCAGACTGTGAGAAAGAGGTGAGGGAAATTAAAGCTCATGAGGAAGAACTCTTTTTGGCATATTTCTACATTATATCTTAAAACTTTTGGTTTTCTTTGGATGAGGACAGCATAATTGTAACAATGTAGTTTAGAGGATTCATCTGAATTACCTGTATTATGACAGCTGTGGCCAGGGAAGCTTACAGATGTGAGACTTCTAGAGCTGCCTGGGGTGTGGGGGACACTAACAAATCCCCACGGACCTATGATCACCTAGAAAGTTGAGTTCGAGTGCTCCTTGTGTGCACGTGTCAAGAAGTAAGTAGATTAGTACGTTAAAGCGTTTAAATAGCAATACTAAGAAAGGGAATTTATGACCACTTAGCTCTTTTCACTTATTTAATATTTGCAACAGTCATACATGGTATTATCCTTACTCCCATTTTACGTAGGAGATGACAGAGCTGCAAGGGATGCAAGCAACATTTTCTAGCTGAGATTGAAACTTCAGGCAATCAGTTCCAAATCCCCCTTCATTTTCCCCTCACACCATATTATTTTGAGTGTGTGCATTTTTTTTTTGTACTGTCCCTTCCATGACAGCATTCTTTCCTAATCATCCCCTTATTTGGAAGCCAGGTTTTTCAAAGCACTCTGCACAGTGCTTTGCAGTAAAACTGGCCTCTTGCAAGCACTGACCTTCTTTTGAAGTGGTTTCTTCCAGAGTGTTTACCGATGTGGAGTAGCCTGCTGCTTCTCTTGGTGCTAGTGAACCTGGGCGATGGCACTGCACCAAGCTGTCTGTGTTTTCTGTGGCTGGAAGCTCTGCTGTCTCCAAATAGAGTAAATAAAGGGAAAGTCTACATAAAAGGCTCAAGTATCAAGTGTGAAAAAGTAAAAGATGCTTGGCTTATTGGATGGTGAGTAATCTTCTAAAACATGTGCCTGCTACCATGAAGCCTATTTCTTTTTTCACTGTTTTACTAATTTATTTTTCATTACAA